AGATTAGATGGGGCGGCAGCGCACGGCACAGCTCGGGCTCCGCTGACACAGCCGCTCTGACTCACCGGCCCCCGGGGCCGCATCGGCATGCTGCGCATGGACCAGCTGCGCACGGACCAATGTGCACAGCCTGCCCTTATCCCACCATGTATATAAGCCGGCCTCTGCTGCCCTAGGGACCTCAGTTTCGACCTCTTGTCCCTAGGTCAGTAAGCCCCCAGTTGTATTCTTACTTACTTCACTAACTAATACATTTCTTGTCCCTAGCCTTAGGTTTGAGCCTCGCTCACCATCGCTTCGGTGAGAACCAGTCGAACGCCCCCCACTTTCAGATATTCCCCTGTCGCTTGACCTCAAGTCACGACAGAACAGATGCGTCACATCAAGTCATCCACCATTTCAGTTCCCTAGCTCATCCAGCTCGAGATCCACATTGAGGATATCCACTGCATGATGAGACTGCCATATCTCCTGTATTTCCAATGAACAACACCAAGGGTGACTCCTGGGATTCTGATCCTTTGGTTTTAGCAGTGGAACTATCACGACTTGAGGTCAAGCAACAGGGGAGCATCTGAGAGCTGAGGGCGTTTGACTGGGTCTTACCGAAGCGATGGTGAGCATACGCTGATAGGCGCCAAGCCCCTCTGGGCCCCGATACACCTCTTTTCGGCAGTCGCATCCCGCCCGGCACTTCGACTCAGTCTCCCAACACTTCGATTTCGCCTTCGACGCTCTTCGACACCTTCGACAGTGCGTGACGCTTACTCGAAGCTCGGCACGGTCGTTCCGATGCCTCACGCGTAGATCTCGGAACATCTTCCGCATTTGGCGAACAATAGGGCCACTTGATGCCGCTCGGCCAAGCGCACGCATCGCTCCAAGCCACACCGACGTAGCCGGTCTTTCCCGATTAGGTATTGAACCTCGCGGCATGCCTTCAATAACGGATACCGGTCCGAAGTGGCCATATGTTGCTCTTCATCTCCGCGTTCGGCATGATGTCACTCTACTGATGGACTTGATACATGCCACTCGGTGAGGCAGCTTCGTGCGGAACAATGCAAAGCCCCTTGTACTAGTGTGCCACTCTCGATAGTCATAGCGTCCTATGCGTAGTATAAAATCTGTCATACTTCTCTCCAAAAAGAACAAGATCCGGTTCCCCCCTCGAGTTCAGAGCTCATAAGTCGAGTTTGCCCTGCGTCTAAGCCCTCAACTGCGTCACTTCGTTCCTCACTGCATAACCTCGAAACCTCGTCCACTGCGTTTACTCGTCGATACAGTTTTGACGAACCCTTCGACTTCGACTATTGTCGAAGAAACTGCGAACCGCGTCCTAGCTAAGTCCCCCCCCCCTTCGAGTTGTTTCCTTTCCTTCTATGATATGTCGAAGAGCTCTGCCGAGCTTCGATCGTCTCCACTAACCACCCCCAGCCTCCGAGTAGCTTCGACGACGTGTTGAAGCCACCTCGTAGCTTCCCTAGCGTTCGTAGCCTTTTCCGAAGGCGTTTCTCGTGTTCACTCGAACCGCGGGACACCTTGCTGCTAACTCCCCTCTCATTAGACTATAATCGGTCTCTCTAGTCCCTTTAGGTCGCACCCAGGTTAGGGGTTAGAGTTTCGTAGGTCGTATCATTTCTGGAGCCCACCGCGAGGGGATCTTAGGCAAGAATTCGCCGCTTTCGAGTTTCCGAAAACGTCTCCAGTAGTCACCCGCTCGCAAGCGTGTGAGGCTGCTAGCCGCAGCGCCGCTGAGAACCTCGACAGCGCCTCTAGAACGCAATCGACTCCCTCTCCAACAATTCCCGGTGACTTCGACCGCGACGAGGAAGACGAGATAGACCAAGAACTCCAGGACGACTTCGACGAAGAACCAATCCCTTCGACCGCCGAAGAACGCACTTCTTCCCCCGAGCTTCTAGGCCTCACTACTTCCGACTATGACACTTCGACTCCTGAACTTTTCAAACGATCCGGTTCTTCGCCCGAACCCGAGGATCCCATCCCATCTACTTCGAATCTCGAACTCCCGACTCCGTCTTCTTGTCGTGCCCACGCTCAGCTGCCCATCGCATCCTCTTTGCGACTTTCAGTCATACCTACATCCGACCTGGCACCTCCGCCACCTTTAGCACCTTCGAACGCAGCTTCGAACTCCAACTCCGCACCGCCCACACCTACGATTCCTTCAACTACTACCGCGTCCTCTTCGACCCCAGCTCCTACTAACACTACGAACATGAGTCAGAACACAAACACACCATTGATGCCCCCGCGCGGTCATTCGACGGCACCGAGCTTCGACCCGTCGGAAGTCCGTTCGCTTCGGCGTTACTTCCAGGACCTCGAAGCATTGTTCACCCGGTGTCAGATTACTGACGAAGCAGCCAAGAAACAGTGGGCTGTTTGGTACCCTTCGATCGATGTCGCCGACTTGTGGGAAACCATCGAGTCCTTCATCGACGTAGCCAAGAGCTACAACGATTGAAGCCGACGTACGAGCACTCTATTCTGGCGCCGACGATACAAGAAAGTGGTCGCTGGCAGACATGGATCAGCTCATCGGCAAACGCGCTCGTATCGGGATTCACAATGCGGCAGATCTAGGCTGCTACTACCGCGACTTCATGGCCATTACGAAACATCTCATCGCACAGCACCGACTCTCCACTATCGAACAAAGTTGCGCATTTCTTCGAGGATTCCAGCCAGCATTGCTCACACGGCTCGAGACCCGACTGCATCTCAAGCACCCCGATCACTACGCCGACGACCCATACACCATGGCAGAGATTCACACGGTGGCTACTTTCATTCTACACGGTACATCGAGCACACCTACGACAGCGGCTAACCAAGCTACCGCTTCGACGTCGAACACTTCGACAACGGTGTCCCCCGGGATGATCAAGACCGAAGACATCTCGATGATCATCGAAAGCCTGTCGAGGACGATCGCAACACTCATTCAGCCAATGACACACGCGACGCACAACCACGCCCCCGCACCGAGACAACAAGCTGCCGTCCACATCCATGAGAACAGCGGAGCTGAACAGACGTGCCACTACTGTGGCAATCGTGGCTGCAGGGTAGGCACCTGCGAGTTTGCGGAGATCGACATTCGGGACAGCAAGTGTAAACGAAACACCGACGGCAAGATCGTTCTTTTGAACGGAAGTTTCTGCCCCCGCACTATCCCTGGTCTCACAATACGAGATCGAATCTACGAGTGACATAGAAGAAATGCCGCAGCGCCCGCCGCTCCGACGATGCTCTTTGAGATCGACGATCGCTCGACTATGCAAACCTTCACGCTCAACACCAGCAGCAGGATTGAGGTGCTCGAGCGAGAACTCCTTCAGCTACGGAAGCGAAGGGAGGTCTTCGACGGCGTCGAGATTCTACAGCGGAAGAAGCCCACGACGCCAGCCGTCCTGAAGAGCGCGGAAGCCTCGGGATCTGGTACATCAAAGGGAGTGGCGGCACCCTCGAGCACTTCGACAAGCACGGCTCCACCTCCAACGATACCAGCAGCATCGCCCGCGCCGCCTTCGCCGCCTGCGCGATCCACGTCTCAACCTATCGCTACATCCGCTCCCCCAGCACCACTAGTACACCCCTTCGCAAACGCTCACGACGCAACCTACGCCCCACCGAACGTTCGAAACTTCGCAACCCTGCCGAAGCCCTCGAACGACAAGGGCAAGGAACCAGCGTACAAGACCATCGTCCCCGTTATCCAGCCGAAGCTCGTCGAGGAGATCTTCCAGCATTCGATGAAGTCGCCGTTCGTCACGCTGACTCCAGAAGAATTGCTGTCAATCGCGCCCGACGTTCGAAACAAGTACCACGACGCCGTCACCCCTAAGCGAGTCTCGACGGAACCCGTCGCGTCGGCCCACATCGTAGAAATCGGCACCGACGAGGTCACGGCCGTCAACCAGCTCTCGTGTTCAGGTGCAACGTTGGAACCCGGTGCTACAATCGTCCCCGACCCATATGAAACTTATCTGAAGCACATCCCTCACGGCGAGCACCCCGCAGAATTCACCGTCGCACGCGATTCAAACGCGATTCGTTCGATCATCGCGTTGATCGACAACAAAGAGCAGATCGAATGCATTGTCGACCCAGGATCGCAGATTGTCGCCATGTTGGAAGAGGTCTGTCTCGGCCTCAACCTCCTCTTCGATCCTACTATCCAGCTGAACATGCAATCGGCGAACGGCGAGGTGGACCGATCGCTGGGACTCATTCGAAATGTTCCCTTCTGCATCGGTGAGATCGTGTTGTACCTCCAGGCTCACGTCATTCGAAACGCAGCATACGACATCCTCCTCAGCCGACCCTTCGATGTGCTTACGCAGAGCGTTGTCAAGAACTTCGCCGACGAGAACCAGACCATTACGATCCTCTGTCCAAACACCGGCGAAACCGTCACGATTCCGACGTACGCGCGAGGAAGATCGCAAAGCCAGCAGCATCCTCTCGGGTGTCGCAAATCGCATTTTCTCGCTTCGAGGAATTGATTCCCCATGATCAAGGAGAAGCCGCGCTAGTCATCGACTATGATGGGGTAAACCCGAATATTTCCTTCATCTCTTCTATTGATTCCTCGATTCCGAATGCTGTTTCGTCACTATACCTCTCCGCATGCACCTCCGTTTCTTCATATTTGCAGTCTCTTTACGCTTCGGACAATACAGCTTCCAATGCCGCCCCGTCGAACGCTTCGACGTGGGCTTCGACTCTTCTATTCTCAGCTCCGTTCGCTTCGACTCCGCCAGCTCCCGCTCCGACGAAGTCCATCTCGCAGCTTTCCAACTCAATTCTTCCCTTTCCTTCTACGACATCGACTTCTACCCCCTCAACGCACAAGATCCTCGCCACGACAAAGAAGAAATACAAGCCTGTCGCTCTCAAAACCCGACCCGTCCTTGGTGCCGTCCCCAAACAATTTCGAATACTTCGAGACATAAAGGGCGACCCTCTATCCATCATGCCTAAGCTTTCGACCGACCTTCCGCCGTTCAAACCTACCGGTCGGTACACCCTTGAACGCTTCGAAGCAACTGATAAGCTTCACGACGGCGACTTCCTACTTCCCGAAGAACGTCGAGTCCTCCACCACTTCATGTGCCTGCACAACGAAGCCTTTGCCTGGACCGACGATGAGCGCGGATGCTTCAAGCCCGAGTACTTCCCCCCCATCGATTTCCCTGTCGTTCCTCACACGCCCTGGGTGCAGAAGAATATTCCCATTCCACCCGGGATCTACAACGAAGTCTGCGCGGTGATCAAGTGAAAGATCGCCGCCGGAGTCTACGAGCCATCGAACTCGTCGTATCGATCGCGGTGGTTCTGTGTCATCAAGAAGGACGGTAAATCGCTTCGACTCGTCCATTCCCTCGAGCCCCTCAATGCAGTCACGATCCAACATTCCGGTGTACCGCCGATGCCCGAATACCTCGCAGAACAATTCGGAGGAAGACCATGCGGTGGCATGCTCGACCTCTATGTCGGCTACAACGAACGACTCATCGCCGAGTCTTCGAGAGATCTAACGACGTTCCAGACACCCTACGGAGCCATGCGCCTAGTCACACTTCCGATGGGTTGGACGAACTCAGTCCCGATCTTCCACGACGACGTCACCTACATCCTCCAGCCCCAGATTCCGCACGTTACGGTGCCCTACGTCGACGACGTTCCCGTCAAGGGTCCCGAATCCGACTATGACGACGAGCGGCTCCCTTCGAACCACGGCATTCGACGCTTCGTATGGGAGCATTTCAAGAACATGAACCGCGTGGTCACTCGAATGCACTACGCTGGAGATACCTTCTCTGGAGTCAAAAGTGTCCTCATCGCTCGAGAAATCATGGTGGTAGGACATCGCTGCACTCCTCAAGGACGCCTCCCCGACGACTCTCGCGTCACAGCGATACGCAACTGGGGTCCATGCGCTACTCTATCCGACGTTCGAGCGTTCCTCGGGACCATCGGTGTTGTTCGTATCTTCATCCGTAATTTCGCTCACTGCACTGATGCGCTCGTACGCCTCACGAGGAAGGACGTCGAGTTCGAGTTCGGTCCGGAGCAAATTGTGGCGCAAGAAGACCTCAAGGATGCGCTACTCTCATCCCCCACCCTCCGAGCCATTAATTATGATTCCCCCTCCCCCGTCATTCTCGCAGTCGACACGTCGTTCATTGCAGTCGGATACCACCTCTGCCAATGCGACGAAACCAACATGCGAGTCCATTACTACAGCAGGTTCGGCTTGATCACGCTCAACGATCGCGAACGAAGGTTTTCACAGCCAAAGCTCGAGATCTACGGCCTCTTCCGTGCACTACGATCCCTTCAACTTTACCTGATCGGCATTCGGAACCTCATCGTCAAAGTCGACGCGCGGTACATCAAGGGTATGCTGAAGAACCCGGACATAGCCCCAAGTGCGAGTATTGACCGGTGGATCGTCTCGATTCTCACATTCCATTTCACGCTAGTCCACGTCCCCGGTACAATGCACGGCCCCGACGGCCTCTCTCGACGCACAGCTCAGCCTGGTGATGTCATCGAAGACCAGGTCGACGAAGAGTTCGACGATTGGATCGACCAGATGCATTCTTTCGTTCACCAGATTCAGCCCCTCCCGTCCATCCAGATGCGGGCCATCTTCACCAATGACAGAGCTGAGGACGGCTCAGATTTCAATAGGGAGGAGGATAGCTACAAGCTAGTGCCTCGATCGGAACAAGCACAACTCGCCGATGCAAAGCTCGACGACATGCTCGAATTTCATCGAACGTTAGCGAAGCCCCACGGCATCTCCGAAAGCGTTTACAAAGGATTCATCAAGTACTGCATGCAATTCTTCCTTGACAACGACACCCTCTGGCGCAAGGACAGTCACGGAGCACACAAGCTAGTCGTCAAGCCCGGCGATCGCCTTCGAATACTTCGAGAATGCCACAACCGCACCGCGCATCGAGGAATCTATACAACCCGAGCCTTTGTCAATGAGCGATTCTGGTGGCCGTTCCACTATGCCGACATCGCTTGGTTCGTTCGATCGTGCCATATCTGCCAGTCTCGACAAGTGCGTCAAATCCTCATTCCTCCGACCGTCGCAGTACCAGCCCCCATCTTCGCGAAAATTCACATCGACACAATGCACATGCCGGCCTCGGGCGGATACAAGTACTTGGTCCAAGGTAGATGCTCGCTCACGACTTACCCCGAGTTTCAAATGCTTCGAAAAGAGACAGCAAAGGCCCTCGCTGACTGGATCTTCAAAGACATCCTCTGTCGATGGGGCGCGCTTAGTGAGATCGTCACCGACAACGGTACGGCGTTCATCAAGGCGGCCGATTACCTTTCAAAGAAGTACCACATCAACCATATTCGAATCAGTGGGTACAATTTGAGGGCGAATGGTCTCGTCAAACGTCCTTCAGCACGCGACAAGCCTTGTTTAAGACAGCCGATGGAGATGAGAAGAAATGGTCCCAAGCTGCGTACTTTGTATTTTGGTCCGAGCGCATCACGACTCGACGACGCATGGGCTGCTCACCCTATTTCGCTGTTACGGGCACCCATCCGCTCATTCCTCTTGACATTGTCAAAGCTACGTATCTGCAACCACCACCGACTTCGATTCTTTCGACAACCGATCTCATCGCCCGTAGAGCCATTGCGCTCCAGAAACGCGTCGAGCAAGTCACCGAACTCCACTCGAAGGTCTACGAAGCACGTCGAACTGCAGCAATTCGCTTCGAGAAAGAGCACGAGCACTCAATCCAGGATTTCGACTTCAAATGCGGAGCCCTAGTGCTCATACGCAACACGAAGATTGAGAAGTCCCTCAACCGCAAGATGCACCCGCGATACCTAGGCCCCCTCATCGTTGTCTCGCGCAACAAGGGCGGCGCGTACATCGTGTGCGAACTCAACGGTACAGTCCTCGATCGACCCATCGCAGCATTCCGCATCATTCCATATTTCGCGCGCAAATCCATTCCAATCCCCGAAGATCTCGAAGATGTCTCGACCGAGCGTCTTCGAGAACTCGAACTATCGAATTCTCTAGGCGACGACGACGATGATGAAGTTGAAGAAGCCAAAGAACGTGACGAATAGGGGTTGTTCCCTTTTATTACTTGTACAACACGATACGTACTTTCTTCTCTCCATTCCTGCTCTCACGTTACGCGATATGTTTGATTTTCTCCTACGTTCTAGACCAACCCTTGTACGAATATCTTTGATTCAACTCGATAAGTTGCAATATTGTTTGACGTTCTACGAATGCTTCGATTCGACCGTTGCGCGGAGGCTCACCTTAGACGAGTCCTCCTAGGCTGTGATGACAAACTGAGCCTATATTTTCATTAAGTCCATTTTCCCTCGCTACAAACATTTCTATTTCACCTTCTATGTCCTTCGATCATGTTACAACAGGCTTCGAACACACTTATTTTCATTTCCTTTTCTTAGTTCACGCTAGGTTTTGTTTAGGCCAAGGGCCACATTTTTGATTTGACTATGGACACAATATTCTACGACATGAAGACAACTATGATACAATACGACCCGCGCCATCGCCTAGTCATCGTCGACAGCCCCGCACACGAACCCGATTCCCCCCTTCGCGAGCGTGGCCTTCTCCATCTTTTAAAGGTCGAGGTCCATGTCGTGTAGGAGCGCTCGACGACGAGCGATGAAGGCGCACTCCTCGCGGATGACGCGGATGATCCCCCGAGACTCGTCGTCGAGGTCGAGCGCATCGAGGTCGTCCTGTTCGAGCCCAAGGCGGCTGGCCCCATCGAGAGGCAGTCGTAGAAGGGGGCGCGGAGGCTCGTCGACTCGGCGCTTCTTCAAACCGCTCGATTCCGCGACCGAAGGCCCAGGAGAGGTCGGCCGAACTACTAAGTCATTAGCGAAAACCTAGGGCACACAGAGGATACAACTTACTGCGCTTTTTCGTGGTTGATCCCCTGCCGCGCGTTTTCTTTGTCTTGCCCAGGACAGACACCTTGTCGAAGTAGCAGCCCTGTTGGAACTGCGTGCACCTCTCGCAGGTTGTGGCGTTCTCGACCCACACACACTCGACCGGGGCCAAGCGGTAGCCGGCGCAATGATCACACTATCAAGGAGTTAGCTTCGAACCGACTCAACGGAGCATCGAACGTACCTTCTGTCCTGACTGGCGCTTCTCAATCGCCGCGGCGGCCATGTCGGCCTCCATCATCGCGAACGGGCGTTCGACTGCCCGAGGAGTCTTCTACGAAAGAGTGATTAGCGACCGAAGGGCAATAGAAGAAAACACTTACGAGCGAAGGGTCGTCCGACAACTCGGCGACCTCCTCGTCGACTCTTGCGCGCCCTTTCCCCTTGTCGAGAAGCCCCTCGGCGGCCGCGATCCTCGCCAACTCCTCGTCGGCGGCCTCTTGTGCGCAACACTCGTCTTCGGCCTGCTTCTGACGGTCCTCTTCGTCCTTTCAACGCCGTTCGTCTTCGAGGCGATGGTCCTCGGCGGCCTTCGCACGCTTCGCAGCCTCTTCGACATGTCGTGCTTCCTCTTCGGCGAGGCGCTTCTGCTCTTCGACGCATCGTTCAACCTCGGCATCGATAGCGGTCGCGAGCTCGGGCCAGTCACTGCGCGCCCACTCGACCCACAACTCCGACGCCCGCTCGGCGAGCTGTTTGACGGCAGCGGCGATGCGCAACTCCGTCTCCTCGTTGCGGATGGCGCCCAGGGCCTTGCGATAGGCGAGCTGTTAGAAAACAAAGGGTTAGCTGGGTTATGTAGGTTACAAACGACTTACAACGAGGGGCAACAAGTCTTGCGCCCACTCTTCAACCATGTCGCGACTTGAGGTCGAGCGACAGGGGAAAACCTAAAAGAAGCTGGGGGCGTTCGACTGATTCTTACCGAAGCGATGGTGAGCGGTGCTCAAACCTAAGGCTAGGGACAAGTAAATGTATTAGTTAGTAAGGTAAGAAAAGGAATACAAAGGATGCTTACTGACCTAGGGACAAGAGGTCGAAACTGAGGTCCCTAGGGCAGCAGAGGCCGGCTTATATACAGGGGATGTTTAGGGGAGGCTGTGCGCGCTGGTCTGTGCGCAGCTGGTCCGTGTGCAGCATGCTGACGCGGCCCCGGGGGCCGGTGAGTCAGAGCGGCTGTGTCAGCGGAGCCCGGGCTGTGCCGTGCACTGCCGTCCTATCTAATCTGATCGTACAGTAGATAACGTTGTGTCCATATCAGGCAGGTAGTACAGAGGTCGCAGGTTCGAGCCCGCGAAAGGGAAAAATTAAAAAACGGCTAGACGCCGTACCAAGTCGTGACAAACCACGTCGAGCGTGGCGTCGGCGGTCGGCGGAGCCTCGAGGACCATGAGCAGGGAGGCAAGGCGGCGGTTGACGAGCGAAGGCGTCGGGGCAGGGGTGGCGGAGCGAGCAGACATTGTAGAAAGCAGCGAGTATGCGGGAAAGGACGGCGAGGTAGCGACGAAGGAACGATGGGATGGGGAAAATGAGGCTAAGTCTACCCTGCTTATAACCCCTTTTCGACCAGCGTTTAGCGCCGGCCACGTGGCGTTCAAAACCGATGTGGGTTGTCATGCCGCTTTGATCCGTTCACGACCATCGCGCTTCTCGCATCACGTGGAGGACCGAGGGTGGTCCAAATTTCAATAGGGAGGAGATGATAGGCGCCAAGCCCCTATGGGCCCCGATACACCTCTTTTTGGCAGTCGCATCCCGCCCGCCACTTTGACTCAGTCTCCCAACAGTTCGATTTTGCCTTCGACGCTCTTCGACATCTTCGACGGTGCGCAACGCTTACTCGAAGCTCGGCACGGTCGTCCTGATGCCTTGCGCGTAGATCTCGGGACATCTCCCGCATTCGGCAGACAATAGGGCCACTTGACGCCGTTCGTCCAAGCGCGCGCATCGCTCCATGCCACACCGACGTAGCCGGTCTTTCCCGATTAGGTATTGAACCTCGTGGCATGCCTTCAACGATGGATACCGGTCCAAAGTGGCCACATGTTTCTCCTCATCTCCGCGTTCGGCATGACGTCGGTCTACCGATGGACTTGATGCGTGCCACTCGGTGAGGCAGCTTCATGCGGAACAATGCAAAGCCCCTTGTACTAGTGTGCCACTCTCGATAGTCGTAGCGTCCTATGTGTAGTATAAAATCTGTCGTACTTCTCTCCAAAAATACAAGATCTGGTTCCCCCTCGAGTTCAGAGCTCATAAGTCGAGTTTTCC